ATCCTAGACAAGATTTTCTTTTGAATTAGGTGTCAAACCCTTTGTGAAATGAGGTAGGATGTAAATATTCTGTATTCTTTGATGTGAATTGTGAGGTTTGGTTATTTCTAAATGTATGAACAATTGGGAGGTTCATAGATTTGGAAATGTGGCTCTTCATCACATAGTTGAGTAATACAGCAAAAGACACTGCATTGGAAGACCCATTGACATGATAAAATCAGTTTGCTCTAATGCAATTAAATTGTCAGAGATTATTGAAGCACATTGTGTCACTTTATGGAGAACATGTTAGCTAGATTTTAAAATTTCATTAGAATAAGTCAATTTTAATTTTCCATATATTTCTAGTAGTTGAAATAATTGTTTAAGGTTATGAGTACTTTAAAGTTGGACTATTATTAAAATTGCAGGGATGCTGACTATACGATTCATAGATTTGAAGTCTGGGATATATGGAAAAAACTACATAGAGAAATGAGGGGAAAACTAGTATGAGGTCCTCAAACTTTTTTAGTTGTGATGAGTCTAAAATGCTTTTCACTTAAAATAATGAAAGCCTGTATAGTATTGAGAGCATTTGTAGTGGTGCTTATAAACCTTTTTAAAGGGTCCTCCACACTTTTAAATATTCTGATATGGTTAGGCTTTGTGTCCACACCCAAATCTCCTCTTGAATTGTAATCCCCTGGGAGGTAATCGGATCATGGGGATAGTTTCCCCCATGCTGTTCTTGTGATAGTGAATTCTCCCAAGATCTGATGGTTTTATAAGGCAGTGTACTTGTTCTTACTCACTCTGTCTCACCTGCTGCCAGGTAAAAGGTGCTTGTTTCCCTTATGTCATGATTCTAAGTTTCCTGAGGCCTTTCCAGCCATGTAGAACTGTGAGTCAATTAAATCTCTTTTCTTATAAATTAGCCACTCTTGGGTATTTCTTTATAGCACTGTGAAAATGGACTAACACAGAGAATTGGTACCAGGTGGTGGGCACTGCTGTAAAGATACCCAGAAATGTGGAAGTGACTTTGAAACTGGGTAACAGGCAGAGGTTGGAACAGTTTGGAGGGCTCAGAAGAAGAAAGGAAGATGTGGGAAAGTTTGGAACTTCCCAGAGACTTATTTAATGATTTTGTGATATGGACAAAGAAGTCCAAGCCACGGTGGTCTCATTTAGAGAAGAGTAAAGGTGACTCTTGCTATGCTTTAGCAAAGAAACTGGCTGTGTTTTGCCCCTGCCCTAGAGATATATGGAGCCTTGAACTTGAGAGAGATGATCTGAAATTGCAGCATATGTTTAAAAGGGAAGCAGAGTATAAAAGTTTGGAAAATTTGCAGCCTTTTTGTGGAGTAGGAAAGAAAAACCCATTTTCTGGGGAGAGATTCAAGCCAGCTGCAGAAATTTGCTTAGGAGGAATCAAATGTCAATTGCCAAGACAATGGGTAAAATGTCTCCAGGGCATGTCAGAGATCTTGGTGGCAACTTATCCTATCACAGGCCTGGAGGCTTAGGAGAGAAACATGGTTTCTTGGGATGGGTCTAGGACCCTGCTGCTGTATGCAGCCTTGGTATCACAGGATCCTTACAGGGTGTTGCTTCGCCAGCTGGAAACCTCTGTGGCAAGTGTTGCCTTTGCCCAAGTTTTGCTCAGGTCCACTGGGCTTGTTCTGCCCACTTGGCCTGGCAGTCTGCACTTGACTTTTGCTACTAGTCCTGATCCCACACCTGCCGAGGGGGAGCCAGGTGCGGAGCAGCAATGTGTTCATGAATGAGTGAGCATGGGCTACAGTGTGCACAGCCAGGCATGCTGGCTGTGGTGGGGCAGGCAGCTCCAGGTGCCAGCATGGGTGCTGGCTTCTTGCTGTGGCTGGACCAGGTGTACTGCAAGCAGCTTCCACTGCAGGCAGTGCAGAACATGGTGGCACCCAGAAACTTGGAGACACCAGGAGCTGCAGAGCCACCAAGAGGGTGTCACAGCCCTGGCTTGGGGAGCTCCTAAGTCCAGGCTCCCTGGAGGACTGCAGCTCTTCTCTCCTCTCTTGTCTCCTTCTTGTCACCTACAACATGGCAGACAGGAGGGCGTATTTTAGCCCTGTTTGTGTTACAGCTTGTTTAGTCCTGCTATTTGATAGGTTCAGAGTTCCTGTACTGTGTCCAGGAAGAATGAGCTACATGGACAACTGGAGGGTGAACAAGGTGAAGACATGCTTTATTGAGCAAAAGTGTACCACTCAGGAGACCCGTAGTGGGTAGCTGCTTCTGCAGGCAGTTCTGCCCAATGAGTGTAGCTCTCAGCAGGGAGGAGACTTGGAGTGGGATCCCCTCTCTGCAGGTAGGTCATTTGTCAGGTGTGCAGCCCTTAGTGAAGAGGGAACCCAGAGTGGCTAAGTCCTATCTACAGGCAGGTCATCTCATCATCTGGCATAGTCTGGTTGAGTCTGCAGTTTTTATGTGCTTCAGAGGGGAGGAATTGTGTGCTGATTGGTCCATGGGTGGCCACAGGTGGGCCCGGAAAATTCATTCTAAGTTCTTACTCTAGTCAGTGGAACTGGCAGCCCGGCCCCTAGGCTTCAGGCCTTCCCTGGCTTGAAGGTGGGGTTTTAGCAGGGACATGTCCCTTTCCTCCCAGGAGCCTGTCTGCCTCCCACTGCTGTTCATGGTGCCCAGGCTGTTTTAGCTGAGGGATACCATGTTGAGTTGCCCTCAGCCCTGCCCTTGGCTTCCCTCCTGTGCTAATCAGGATCTGAAGTCCAGAGGGGCTGAGGTGGCAGGGGGCTGGTGTGTCTCAGCATTGCTCTGAGCACACACATACCTGGCCAGGTCATGACAGTGTGTCCAGGCTCAGCCACAGCTTTCCTCCAAAATCAGAGTGGGCACTGGGAGTGGGGAGAGGCCAAGCAGCAGGAGCAGGCACTTCTGAGCCTGCAGGGGGAGAGGGGCTTCCTGGGCCTCCAAGAGCTTAGGAAAGTCCTGGTCCAGAGCTGAAGCTGAGTGGCTGCAATTGTACTCAGGAGCACGGGCTCCCTCCCCACCAACTTGGAAAGGGGCAGGGCTCTCGGCTGTTCCTGGCTCCTGCTGGCTCTGCAGAGCAAGAGCAAGCAGGTCCAGCCGTGCCTTCCCCACTGCAGCCGGTATCTTTGCAGTAGCTTCTTCATATGGGCTGCAGCTGCCATCACTGGGACTTGGGTCCTGTGTCCCAGCTATTCCAGTACCAGTTGCGGCTGAAAGGGTTCAGACTATTGCCTCAGAGGGTGTAAGCCTAAAGTCTTGGTGGCTTATACATGGTGTTGGGCCTACTGGTACACAAAAATCAATAATTGAGGTTTGGAAACCTCTGTCTAGATTTTAGAGGATATACAGAAACACCTGGATGTCCAGGCATAAGTATGCTGCAGGGTTGGAGCTCTCACAGAGAACTTCTGCTAGAGCAGTGCAAAGGGGAAATGTGGGGTATAAGCTGCCACACAGTCTCCACTGGGGCACTGCCTAGTGGAGCTTTGAGAAGAGGGCCACTGTCTTCCAGACCCCAGAATAGTATGTCCACTCACAACTTTCACCATGCACCTGGAAAACCTGCAGATACTCAATGCCAACCATGAAAGCAGCTGGCATGGGGGTTGTACCCTACAAAGCCACAGGCGTGGAGCTGCCCAGGGCTGTGGGAGCTTACCCTTTGGATTAGGGTACCGTGGATGAGAGACATAGAGTCAAAGGAGATCACCTTGGAGCTTCATGACTTAATAACCACCCTTTTGAGTTTCAGACTTTCATAGGGCCTGTAGCCCCTTGGTTTTAGCCAATTTCTCCCATTTTGAATGGGAGCATTTATCCAATGCCTGTTATCCGTACTGTATCTTGGAAGTAACTAACTTGCTTTTGATTCTCCAGGCTCCTAGGCAGAAGGGATTTGCCTTGTCTCAGATGAGACTTTGGAGTAGGACTTTTGAGTTAATGCTGAAATGAGTTAAGACTTTGGGGGACCGTTGGGAAGGCATGATTGATTTTGAAATGTGAGGACATGAGATTTGGGAGGGGCCAGGACTAGAATGATATGGTTAGGCTCAAATCTCATCTTGAATTGTAATCCCAAGGTGTTGAGGGAGAGACCTGGTGGGAGGCAGTCTCATCATGGGGGTGGATTTCCCCTGTGCTGTTCTGGTGATAATAAAGGCCCAGAAGATCTGATGGTTTTATAAGGCAGTTTCCCTGCTCTTGCTCATTCTGTCTCTCTCTATCACCTGCCACCACATAAGACATACCTGCTTTCTCTTCTGCCATGATTGTAAGTTTCCTGAGGCCTCCCAAACCATGTGGAACTGTGAGTCAGTTAAATTCCTTTTCTTTATAAATTACCCAGTCTCAGCTATTTCTTTATAGGAATGTGAAAATGGACTAATACATATTCATAAAGTGCTTTTAAGATAATTGCTTTGATATACAGCATGAGAACCTTGGGCATTTTAGCTGCATTACGGTTGCAGCATATGAAAAATGGTCACATTTAATGTAGAAAATTGCTGATAATTCAGCTTGTAAATAGATACCACCTGGGGTTCCATAAACATACTGACTCACCTAGTGTTTAATTGCTCTTGTTATTTGCCAGTTACAACATTAATTCACTAAATAGGAATATAGTCTTATTCTTAGTGCTAAATCCTTTTAGGATTTAGCTGAAGTTCTAAATCAGTGCACTGGTGATGGAGATTCTAATGATGGCTTTATAATTTTTGATAGAGTATCATGGTCCCCTAATATTTTACGTAATTCTTCTCTTTTCCTTTTTGCCTTATTACTATCTCATGTCCCTTAAATTCTGGGTTATGGGTGTTGAGGGTGGTTGATGGTATTAAATTTCATTGGGGAAAAAGAAATTTAAAAATAAATTATTTTCTTAATTCTTTTTCGAAAAGTAAACACATGTACTTTTGTAAGAGGTATAACAATGTTAATATATTTACCCATGAAGAGCTTTTAACTTGGATTCTTTTCAATTTAAGGTTACCATTAAGAATATCGAAAGGGAGCTCATTTGCCCAGCATGCAAGGAGCTGTTTACCCACCCATTGATTCTCCCTTGCCAACATAGTATCTGTCATAAATGTGTAAAAGAACTCCTGCTGACTCTTGATGATTCATTCAATGATGTGGGATCAGACAACTCCAATCAAAGCAGTCCTCGACTTCGGCTCGCCTCCCCTAGCATGGATAAAATTGACCGAATTAACAGACCGGGTATGTGTTAGAACTGTGGGCTGGGTGGGAGGATGCTCATAGATATATGTTCAGTGGTAACTGGAGGAAAAATTACTTTTGTCATCTTGAGGGTTAATTTTTCCAGGTAAATAAATTAAAACTATCGTTATAAAGAGTTCTCCCCCACTGTTAAAATGTCAAAATGAACTCGTCTTTTGATACATACTTAAAGTAGATACTGGATATTGAACACGAACTTTGTGTTAAATTCCTCATTAACTGTGTTTGTATTTAGGAGTTATTCTCTGTGATGTCCTTGATACATAAAATAATGGACTACTGAAGTACTAACTAGGAAAACATATGTGATAATAGGTAAATAAGTACTGCAGAGTTAAGGAGTGAGACTGCCTAATGGCTAGTCCTAGATAACTTTTGAGGGGAATTATTTTTTGTCATTTTTTTCCCATCTGGTCCCATCTGAGGGTTTTATTTTCTTCATCCCCCATCCTTTTTTATTTTTTATTTTTTATTTTTATTTATTTTTTCTCTCTTTTTTTCTTGCATACAATAAGCAAGCTTCACCAGGATTTGCAACCAGACATGGGTCAGGCTTGCTATTTATTTTTATTTTTGAGACAGTGTCTTTCCCTGTCTCTCAGCTGAAGTGCAGTGGCACAATACTGGCTCACTGCAGCCTCCCTGTCCTGGGCTCCAGTGCTCCTCCTACCTCAGTCTCCTGAGTAGCTGAGACTACAAGCAGGTGCCACCATGCCCAGCTAACCCAGTTAATTTTTGTATGTTTTTTGTTTCACCATGTTGCCCAGGCTGGTCTCAAACTCCTGAGCTTAAGCATTCTGCCCACGTTGGCCCCCTAAAGTGCTGGAATTACAGGCATGGGCCACTGTGTTCAACCTCTTAATCCATTTTTGTCTATTTTTAAAAGAAGGATTTTGAACATCATAAATAATAGAATTCTGTAGTAATGTATAGAAAATGAAATTGATGTACAGCACATATATCTTTTATTACATGGCCACTGTTTAAATTGTTTCTTATTGGGATAGGTTTACTTTTTCTTTTGGTCAGCCACTGCAGGATTAATGTAGATCAAAATTAATTTGAAATCATTGGAGACACTGAAATTCAGGGCCAAATACTGGTACAGAAGTCAGCTGTAAGGACCAAAGTGAGAGGAAATAGCAGTCTCATGTTAGGCATGTCCTTCATGGAGGAGAGTCAGTGGCAGCCATAAGTATCAGACTTCAGAGCAGCTCTTCCCATTTTGGGCTTTGAGGTTTCAAGTTTAATCCTTTTGCCCACTCTTGTCAGTTTCTCCCTCTTCAAGTATAGGAGTAACTTTTTAATCTTGTGAAAAAAAAAAAAAAAACCTTTTCAGAAAAGACTCTAAGTTACATTTTGGAAAATGTTATCTTCTTTTGGTCTCTTTGTGATACAGAGTCTCCTTGGGTGACATTTATGTGTGCTCCGTCAGAGAGTGGAGAATAGTAGATTTGTTTTAAGGGTGATATGCTGTTTTGAAAACTTTTTTTTTTTAATGGCAGTCACTAGTTACATGGATAATATTTTGCAGGTATAGAAGTTGTATATACAAAAAAATGAGCAGCATCACATAAGGCAGCCTGAGAGAGTGCAGAGAGTATGATGTTATAAAGGGTCATGATCATTGTGAAGTCATCATCTTTATGTTTCCTTCCTTGCTACCAATCTGGTGCACTGAAGAGGGAAAGACAGCAACAGCTTGAAATCAATCCTACCAGATAAAACTTGATATTCTGGGCCGGGCGCGGTGGCTCACGCCTGTAATCCCAGCACTTTGGGAGGCCGAGGTGGGTGGATCACGAGGTCAAGAGATCGAGACCATCTTGGTCAGCAAGGTGAAACCCCGTCTCTACCAAAAATACAAAAATTAGCCGGGCATGGTGGTGCACGCCTGTAATCCCAGCTACTCGGGAGGCTGAGGCAGGAGAATTGCTTGAACCCAGGAGGCGGAGGTTGCGGTGAGCCAAGATTGTGCCATTGCACTCCAGCATGGGTAACAACAGCGAAACTCCGTCTCAAAAAAAACAACAAAAAAAAAAAACAAAAAAAAACTTGATATTCTGTTGATAGATCTTCACTGGCTAATTGGGAACCTCTGCTTGATCAACCAAAGGAAACTTCCTTTTTGTATATTAATATTTGGCACAATTAAATAAAATTTTAGTTATGTACTAGTATTTCTACTTATAATTAGATTGCATTTACATATATATTTCATGAAATTCTGCAGGCTTTTAGTGTTAAGATTTGGCTAGTTTTTTATGTGATTCATATGAAGAACTAGATGAATGATTTTGTTTTCAGAAATTTACCTAGTATGGTACTCGGTAGGTGCTAAATAAATATTTGTTGAATGTATGTTGAATGACAAACATACTACAAGATTTATATAGAGCATGCTACAATGGCTTATATTCAGTAATAATGGCATTTGTCTTTTGGAATATGAGTTCCATTCCACTGTCATTTCACTGTCTAGGTAAGAAATAGAATTACTGAGATGTTTCTCCCTCTTCTTTAGGAAGAACCCTATGAAGTTAGATTATGTCCTGAGGGGGGAAATTTAGAATGGTGGAATTTGAAAATTTTCTCTGTAAAGAACAGTTACAGGAGAGGAGATGGGAAGACTGCAGAATATGATAGCTTTCTTATGAATAGAAGGAGTATGCTGGGTATCTCTAGCAGAGGTTCCAGGTCAATGAGTAGATAGAATAGGAAAGCAGATTTAACTGGGCATGAAAGAAGACACCCCACCACCCCCACTAAGGCTATCAAGAAATGAAATGGGCTAAGTATGTCAGATTCCTGCTACTAAAAGTGTTTACATCAGGTGTCAAATTTAGGTGCTGCAGGACCAAACAGGCGCATTAATGAAGAGAGCCCTAGGCATAATAAATATAGGATTCTCCTTTATTTTAGTTCTTTGCTATAAATATAGACTATAAATTTTTTATTTTCTCATTAGTTCAACTACTATAAGAAAACCATGAGCCCAAAGTGACAGCAGCCAGTTGATTTTAGGACTCCCTGTTGGAGAAGCAGGGTGTGGTTTGAGACTGTGGAAACTAAAACGGATGCCTTGTTAAAGGTGGCAGTCATCACGTGGCACTACCAAGGTTGAAGATGCCAGATTGTCAGATTTATTGGTTTTTCACAAAAACTGGATAGTGGCTTCCATGTGAATTCTGTTTTTTAAATATTTTGAACTCAGATTATTTAAAAATACCACACTAGCTTAACAGGACAAGACAGCCAAAACATACATTTGGCTCTGACCCATGCAGCTTTTGGGCCATCAGTATTTACAGACTTTTTTTTAAAACATAGGTTGGCTACTGTCTGCAATATTGTAGATGGTGTTTCTGCTATGGGTGGTAGGTTGGGCCAGTTGTTCTTCACATGCCTTATCTCCATCACTGAAGTTTTATGCCTTATTAAATACCAGTGGCATTCATTCATTCAACAAATATTTGAGTACCTGCTATTTACCAGATATGGCTAAATGCTTAAAAGCAATGAACAAGATAGGCACACCTCTTTTTTTTCTTTTTTTTTAAAAAAGACACATAATCCTTAGCATTGTACAAAGCTTTATAACAGATGTAATTACGATAGCATAGTCTTTTATCAAGAACACATACAGAGCAAGTTAGTAGTTAAAGAGAGCACCCAGAGGGTGAGAATGCTGCAAGTATGAAAATCATTCCTGGAGGTTTTAATGCAAATTTTAGGATTGTCCTTTACATGATCACCAGTTTTAAATTAGTAGAAGTCATTGCATTACAAATGTGATGTTACTTGCCCTCTATTTATTGGACATTTGCCTATAAGTTCTTTTAGTAGACAAATGAGTAATAGTTCTTTTTTTTACTGACAGCTTTCTTTATACATTGTTATCATTTAGACATTTATTTAAGACAGGGTCTCACTGTGTTACCTAAGCTGGAGTGCAATGGCTTGATCATAGCTCACTGCAACCTCTAACTCTGAGGTGCATGCCACTCACTCGCTCACTGCTGCTTTATTTAAAATTTTTTTGTAGAGACGAGGGTCTCACTTTGTTGCCTAGGCTGATTTCAGACCTCTCTTCAAGGAGTCTTTGTGCCTTGGCCTTCCAAAGTGCTGGGATTACAGGTGTTAATCCAGGCTGGTTTTGCCACTGGTCTAATAAAGGGATTAATTAAACCTGGATTGTCCAGTATGGTAGCCACTAGCTACATGTGGCTATTGAGTGCCTGAAATGTGGCTGGTCTGAATTGAGATATGCTGTGAGTTAAAATTCACACTTAGAATAAAAAGGACTGTGAAAATTTTTATAAAAATTTAAAAATTAGCAAGGTGCGAGTGAGTGGCATGCACTTGTAGTCCCAGGTACTCAGATGGCCGAGGCAGGAGAATCAATTGAGCCTCAGAGTTAGAGGTTGCAGTGAGCTAACTCTGCAAGAAATCTGTGTATTTCTTTAATAATTGTTATATTGTTTACATTTTGAAATCATAGTTTTTTGGATATAGTGGGTTAAATAACGTGTTACTAAAATGAATTTCAGTTGTTTTTTTAATATGGCTACTAGAAAATTTAAACTTACATATATTATAGTTTTGGCTTGTATACTTCTTTTGGATAATGTTGCATTATATTTTTGACAGTTTTTTAAAAGGGTACCTTGAAAGGAGAGTAAGATTTATATGCATAACACAACAGCATATTATGTATGAATAAAAGCCATATTACTGTATGCTTTTGATCATATATATATAAACTCCTGCCCCATTTTGTATTTTCCCTGTATCTAAACTGAATATATTCAGTTTTACTATTTTTTTTTGGACAGTTTTTAGGTCAGTAAAAAGTCAAACAAAAGATTTTACTTTTACTTTGTGTTTGTAACAGTTACTGTAAGTATGATTGTTTAACAATACAAATCTATATAGGACAAAGTATAGTCTCTTAAGTGTTGCACCAATAATGATTCTAA